TGAGCTGATGAATACATTGTCCTTTTGTAACTGGCTTATTTCACTTAGCATAACATTTTCAAGGTTCATCCATGTTGTAGCATTAGAATTTATTTTTTTTAATGGCTGAATAATATTTCACCATATGGGTAGATCACATTCAGTTTATCCATTCATCTGCTGATAGACACTTGGGTTGTTTCCTCCTTTTGAGTATTGTGAATAATGTTGCTTTGACCATGAGTGTATAAGGATCTGTTTGAGTCTAAATATTATCTTTCCATCAAATACAGTTAACCCTTTAAATAGTGCTGGGCCCACCCTTTCCCTTCCTGCCTGGGTTGGGGTTCTGTGGCTTTCGCTGACCCCACGCCTCCCGCACCACCCTCCACCCCGTTTTCCTGATGTGCGGATTCCTCTCTGCCCCTGACAGCGTTCACTTGGACTGATGGGAAAAGTCAAGGGTTTGTGAGTCAGACGGATCCGGGTTCTAATGCAGGCAGCTCCGTTCTTCGTTGGAGACATTGAACAGGTCACTTCAGCTCCCTGAGCCTCGGTCTTCTCGTTGTGAAATTGTGACGTATGCCCACCTCTCGTCACACGTGAAGCACTCAGCACAGAGTGAACGTTTCATTGACTTTGACTTCCTTTTCTGTCCATGACCAGGTGCTACCTCCTCCCCTCATGTTGGCCACTGTCCCCAGCCATGAACATGGATTGGAAGACTCAAGATTGGTGTATTGGTCAGGGTTCTCCCAAGAAACGGAACCAATAGGAAGTGTATTTATAGAGGGAGATTGTGGGGACTGGAAAGTCTGGAATCCACAGGTCAAATTGACACAGAAAATTAACCATAGAAGTTGGTTACTTCTCAGTTCTCTTCAAACAGATCTATAAATTCATTGTAATCCCAATTAAAATCCAAAAAGGCTTTTTCAAAAACAATCGACAGGCTGATTCCAAAATTCATATGAAAGTGCAGAGGAACTAGAATAGTCAAAACAACTTTGAGAAACAAGATCAAAATTGGACGATTTACACTGTCTGATTTCAAGACTTACTAGGAAGCCTGGTGATCAAGACAGTGTGGTATTAGTGAAAGGATAGACATACAGATCAATGGAACAGAATGTAGCCGAGAAATAGATTCATACCCATTGGTGAATTGATTTCCCCAAAGTGAAAAGGCAGTTCAGTGGAAAAGGCACAGTCTTTTCAACAAGTGGTGCTGGAAAAATTGGACACCCATATGTAAAAATCTAAACTTGTTCCGTATTTTGCAACATATTAAAAAAAATAGCACAAAATGGACCATAGATGTAAATATAAAACCTAAAACTATTACACTTTTGGAAGAACACAGGAGGAAATATTTGTGACTTTGGGTTAGGAAGCGTTCTTAGGTATGACACCAAAAGCATAATTCATAAAAAAACAAGTTGATACACTGGACTTGATTAAAATGAAGAACTTTTGCTCTGTGAAAGACATTTTTTTTTAAGATTTTTATTGGGGAATTGGGGGGATGGGAACAGTGCTGGGGAATTGGGGAAAGGGGAACAGACAAGTTGCTGTCGTTTCATTCTTCAGTCTAGTTGTGGAGGACGTTGCTTCACTGGTCCAAGTTGGCACCATCATTGCGCTCTTCCCAGGCGAGGCAGATCAGTCGCCGGCTTCTGGACGGCCGTTCACTGCGGCTGCTGGCCGCTCACGCTGGCTGCTGGCTACACACGGTAGCCCATGGCAACCCACTGCCACAGGGGCTGCAGCCTACGCCGTCGCCGGCGACTCATGGCAGCCCAGCTCCACTTCGAGCTGTTGTTCAGCATCTTAGCTGTGGAGGGCAGTGTCACTGGCCCTCATATGTGGGATCCGAACCGGGGCCCTCTGGCGTCCCAAGCCAGTTCTTAACCATCGCTCCACTCGGCCGGCCCTGAAAGACATTTAAGTGAATGAATAAACAAGCCATAGACTGGGAAAGAATATTGACAAATGATATAGCTGAAAAGGGCTTGTATCCAGCATGTATAAAGAACTCTCAGGGGTGGCCGGGTGGCTCAGTTGGTTAGAGCGCGTGCTCTTAATAAGGTTGTCGGTTCAACTCCCACATGGGATGGTGGGCTGTATCCTCCACAACTAGATTGAAAGGGGCGACTGGACTTGGAGCTGAGCTGCGCCCTCCACAACTAAGATTGAAGGACAACTTGACTTGGAGCTAATGGGTCCTGGGAAAAACACAGTTTCCCAATAAAGTTTAAGAAAAAAACAACAACTCTCAAAACTATAAGAAAATAACCTGTAAAAAATGGGCAAAAGGTTACTACAGGTATGTCACCAAAGACACACCAAAGATGTGGATGACAAATATGAACATGGAAACATTAGTCAATAGGAAAATGCAAATTGAAACTACAATGAGACATCATTACACACCTACAAGAATGACTGAAATTTAAAAGACTTGCCTAGGCTGGCCGAGTGGCTCAGTTGGTTAAGAGCTTGCTCAAGAGTTTGAGCTCTGAGCAACAGCGGTTTGAGTCCCGGCCCGAGCTGCTGCTGAGCTGCCAACAGGTAGTAGGATGGCTCAGCTAAAAATAAATAAATAAATAAATAAATAAAAGACTTGCCAAGTGTTGGCAAGGATGTGGAGGAACGGGTGGTGGGAACATAAAATGGTACAATCATCTTCGACAAAAATTCAAGAAAACCACGATGTAACTCACCCATTCCACTTCGAGGAATTTGTCCAAGATAAGTGAAAGTATATGTCCATAAATTTAATTGTGTGCAAATGTTTATAGCAGCCTACTGGTCATCGTCAAAACTTGAAAACAGCCTAAATGTTTCTTAACAGGTGAATTGATAACATGGTAAAGTAAGTCCTCACTTAAGGTCGTCAATAGGTTCTGTGATTTTAAGCGAAATGATGTATAAGAAAACCGGTTTCACTGTAGGCTAATTGATATAAACAAAAGTTAAGTTCCTATGGCATCTCATCAACATAATGAAACAATGTTGAATGAAACAATATTATTTGAGATCCTGCTGTATACCCACACAATGGAATACTACTCAGAATAAGAAGGAATGAACTGCTGATACATGCTACAACATGAAGAAATCTCAAAATAATTATGCTGAGTGAAAGGAGCCAGATAAAAAACACATACGGGAGCCGGCCAAGTGGCGCAATGGTTAAGAACTGGTTTGGGACGCCAGAGGGCCCCGGTTCGGATCCCACATATGAGGACCAGTGACACTGCCCTCCACAGCTAAGATGCTGAACAACAGCTCAACCTGGAGCTGGGCTACTTGTGAGTTGCCGGCGACGGCATAGGCTGCAGCCCCTGTGGCAGTGGGTTGCCATGGGCTACCGTATGTAGCCAGCAGCCAGCGTGAGCGGCCTGCAGCCGCAGTGAGCGGCCGTCCAGAAGCCGGCAACTGATCTGCCTCGCCCGGGAAGAGCGCAATGATGGTGCCAACTTGGGCCAGTAAGGCAACGTCCTCCACAACTAGACGGAAGAACAAAACGACAACAACTTGTCTGTTTCCATCCCCCCAATTCCCCAATAAAAATCTTTAAAAAACAAACAAACAAACAAAAAACCACATACGGGCATGATTCCATTTATATAAAAATCTAGGAACTGCAAATTAATGTGTACTGACCGTAGATCAGGGGTTGCCGGGAAAGGGGTAGAGGGAAGGACTAGGAAAGGACAGGAGGAAAATTGGGGACTGAGGAATCTTTGTTATTTTGATTGTGGTTATACACATATGTGAAAAATGTATCAAATTGTAAACTTTTATTTAAAAGATTTTTATTCCCCAATTGGGGGGTGGGAACAGCGCTGGGGAATTGTGGGAAGGGGAACAGACAACTTGCTGTCGTTTTGTTCTTCAGTCTAGTTGTGGAGGACGTTGCTTCACTGGCCCAAGTTGGCACCATCGTTGCGCTCTTCCCGGGCGAGGCAGATCAGTTGCCGGCTTCTAGACCGCTGCTCATGGTGGCTGCTGGCTGCTCACGCTGGCTGCTGGCTACATACGGTAGCCCATGGCAACCCACTGCAGCAGGGGCTGAAGCCTGCGCCATCGCCGGCGACTCACAGCAGCCCACCTCCAGGTTGAGCTGTTGTTCAGCATCTTAGCTGTGGAGGGCAGTGTCACTGGCCCTCATATGTGGGATGCAAACTGGGGCCCTCTGGCGTCCCAAGCCAGCTCTCAACCACCGCACCACTCGGCCGGCGGCCCTCAGATTGTAAACTTAATTTGTGTTGTTTGCTGTGTGTCCATTTCAGGTCAATAAAGCTGTTAGAGGTAAAGTGCACAGAAAATACCTAGTTCACTCTTGGTGCTTTCCAAGGCAGCCGACTACTACCCTCACAGTGACACCCTCCCCCAGCCTCACAAGCCAGTGTCTGCTTTCCCTCAGCTTCACAGAACTGCCTCTCGGGGGCCATCACATGCTCTTAGGAAAATTGCATCAAATAACACATCGCAAAGGCAGTGGAAGGTTCGGGAACTTTGCCACTGGAAATGGATTTCTGTCCCTCGACCCTCTCTGCCTTACATCACATCTTCAGACTGGCTTCCCCCTTCCCCCTCTCGTCAGCACTCTGTCTCTTCCAGAGGCCTAACCTAACCTAACCAGAGGGAAGGTTAATTTAGCCATCGACCTCAAAAGACTTCGAGGGTTTCCCTTAACTTAACCATTAGGGCTTTACCCTCCTGATTTTGGGGAGGGGCTGAAACATGTCAGTGGCTCTCAAATAGGGTCCTAGTTACTTGACTCTACACTCCCTCTTGCAGGAAATTGAGGCATGTCAAGGTCATTGACTTGCTGCAGACTTTGGATCAAGTTAGTGCAGGGACTGCACTAAACTCGGGTTCCTAATTGCCAGACCTAACTGAAGGGATGAACCACTACTCACCCCCCTCCGCGTGACCCATGTCATGTGACCCCAGGGCTGCTGGGGGAGAGACTCCAGCCGAGGCCCTGCCTTCTGGGGCCTGGCAGCTGGCACAGCAGTGACAGTGAGCCTCTGAGTGGCCTTGCAGGGTCTGCACTGCTTCCCCATCACGTCCGCCCAGTTGCCCTAGTGACTGTGTGACCCTTCTCCCCCGCCCTCGCTGCCACCAGCCCTATAAATAGAGGCGAAGAGCAGCTGGGCTCTCTTGGCAGTCACCATGAGGGCGCTGGTCCTGCTCTGCTGCTTTGTGGCGTCGCTCCTGCTCCCAGGACAAGCAGGTATGACCCCACTCCTGTCAGCCAGGCCAGACTGCAATGTCGTCTGTGGTGTGGGGGGCTTGGGTGGTAGTTGGAGGATGAGGCCTCTGTGATTCCTGGGGCTGATGGCTGGTCTCACGTCATTCCCATTCTCTTCTCCCCTGGGGCCCAGGAGAAAGAACTGAGCGTGGAGAGAACCTGAGAGCAGTCAAGGGGCTCGTGGGAAGGCCAGAGGAAGCAGAAGCAGTGAACTAGGATGTGCAGGAAGGTGCAAGGCCTGAGTTGGGCCAAAAAGAAGGTCTGGCTAGTAGATGCTGGGGAAGAGCACCACAAAAGCCAAGACTAGAGGAACCTCCTAGCCAGACAAAAGAACCTGATCTTGCAGCTGGAGGGGCCCCTGGAGGTAGCTGACCCTCTCAGCTGGTGGAGATCTGGCGGGGGGCCTGGCTTTGCAGGATTGAGGATGGGGCTACGCTGGGCAGTGTTGGGAGTCCTTGGGAGCAGTGGGATAGAGTGGGGGGTCAGTTTAGGATGGGATTGGAGATAGAGTCGGGGATTGGACTGGAAACTGAGTTGGACACAAAGTTCAGAAGAGGAAACAGGACTGTTCTGGAGTAGAACTGGGCTCAGCTGGGCTTGGTTAGAAGGGGCCTGGGGGATGGTGTGCCATGGTTTTCCTTTGACATCTCAGCACTGCGTGTGGAAGGGGCAGCTCTGGTTACAGCATGGAGGTTATTTATAGGTGTGGAGGGGACACCAGAGCCATTTTGCCACCTTTCTGTTCCTGAGATTCCTAGGGTTGGGTTCCCCTTGGGGATGCTTCAGGGGTGCTCTGGGGACCCCTCCCCCCAGGAATCCGGGACTCTGCTTTGTCTTTTCATGACTCTGTCATCTTGATCTGCTCTGGGGACCGTGGGGGCCACAGCCCCAGCCTCTCTGATCTTTGAGATTCTGTTTCTTGAGGTCCCAGCCCCAGCCCGGAGAGCGGCTGGCGGGAGCAGCAGAAGCCATTACCTCAGGAGTTAGAAACCAAGGTGGGAGGCTCCAGCTTCGCATGTGCTGCTGGGCTCTGCCCTTGTCTGCCCTTGTGTTAATTTGGGCTCCATGGGGCTGCAGTGGCTGGAGTGGTGAGGATTCCAAGCGGCTGTCAGGTGGCTAAGTATGGAAACAGCGTGTAATTGGATCCTGAGCCCCGAGCCACTGTCACCCTCTCCCCTTTGCAGCCCCTCCCCTGCTCCTCCCAGCCTCAGCTGCCACCTCTCTTTGAGTCCACACAACAGGCTCAGGAACTTTTAGCCTTTTAGGGACATCCTTTATCTTTCCTCCTAACAAGGGAATTGGACATCTGGAATGTTCCATAGGCCTCTCTGGGGTCTTGCTGTGGGGAAAGGAGGCAGGCAGGTGCTTTGTGCAAAGATTCTCTCTGCATGCTCCTTCCTTCCTGGGCTCCTCAGTGTGCCCTGGCCTTGCTTGCTTCCAGGGAGGGGTTGTCCATCAGTGGGCAAGGTTCCCTCCCTCCTCACCCTGCTACACTTGGGCTGTGGGCTCTTACCCATGTGGATTTGATCACTACTTCAGTCGTAGGTTGTATACCCCAAAAGACAGCTTCCTTCTGCACCCACTGGGAGGTTCCAACCGTAAGGGTGGCTACTGGTTGATTTCCCCCTAGAATTGTGCCGCCCAGTAAGTGCCACCCTGCTCACAGGCAGCAGCTTTGCTCCTGGACTTCCCATTCCACCGCTGGGTCCTCATTTTCCATGCCCATGTCCCTGCCCCTTGCTGGGTAGCAGGCAGATGTTCTCTTTCCCACCATTCCTGCTTCCTGGTGGGACCCTACAGAGCAGCTATTCCTTCTTTTGTCCCCATGTTGCTCCCATGACCCTCTGGAGTGGGGTGATGGGGTCCACAGCCTCTTTTCATCCCCAAGTGAGGGACCAAGCACCCCTCCTGATGACAGGATGCAGATGGAGCCACCAGGCCCCTGTCACCAGACGCTTCCCGACCCCTTGCCCCCAATACTTTGTAACCACTGGGGTCCTCCTCTTTGTCTTGGGGACCTGGCTTCTGGACAGTCCTGCTCAAGGATAGGGGAAGGCAGCCATGAGTCACTTTTTGTTCCCTCATTGTCCAGGTAACGGAGCAAAAGCCGGAGGAATGAAGAGATGTGTTCAAGGTCAGACAGCCGAGTTAGTGATAGGTACACCCAGCCCAGGGCTAGTATTACCTCACCTGGGATTTCCTGTCGGCCCCTGGCAGCCCCAAAATACTCTCTGCCTGTTGGGCGGGGTGTGTGAGGGCCGGGTGAGAGACTGCCCTTGGGTCGCTTTCCCCAGGATGCAGGACAAGAATGATGCCCTTGGTTCTTTGACATCTTGGAGGGTGGGGTGGGATGGAGGTTGCTGAGAAAACATTTATTTGGGGTTAAGCTGTTGGCATTGGTTAGGCTGAATTCAGGACATCTTTGCTTCCTGTTGCCTACTGGATGCAGAGAGACTGGGGACAGACAGGGCTGGGGGGTGGGTGTTCTGAGTATGTGCATACTTCGTCCTCCAGGTCTGGTTGCAGATGTGCAAGGCTGCTCTGGCCCCCACCCTAAAATCCCAATGGTGAGAAGTTGGTGCACTCTGGGGCTGACCCACCCGTTCTTGAGAGACATGAGTATATGGTAACCACCAAGAAACGTGCCCTCTCGAGACCCACCTCCTCTTCCACCCCAGGCTCGTTATTTCTGGAAGGAGGCCCATTCATGCTTCCTAAACAGGGCTGTGCAGCAGCTATGGTCCACCATGCTGAGAGAAAGTCATCAGCTGAGGGGTCCTAGGGCAACAGCAGACCCCAAAGTCTTTTCAGTCCCCTGCAAGCTGTGTCCCCAGCATACTCCCAATTCCTAGCTCAGTGTATCTGGGTGAGCCTGTAGGGAGCATCTAGTCCACTACTAGCCTCACCACATCTGCGAAGTGCTAGTCTGGGGTTCGCTAATGGAGACATCCTCTCAGATGTGGACACCTTACTTGGCGGCCTGTGAAATGGCATTTTGGAAATGCTGGTTTTGTCCCATGTCTGGGGGTGACAGTGAAGGTCAAACAGCCAGTTCATGGCAGGGTCAGAGCTGGAATCCAGGTCCCCTCACTCCTCATTCAGTGCTTTTGGCCACGTATATACTCAGCAGGAGGTCCCATGAGGCCAGTTGCATCCACCTGGCCTTTTGGTCCTCTTTTAAGTGTGGTGGGCTGGGCTGGAGCCTAGTTCTTATGGACACAGGAGGAAGATGGCTGTTCCTCCTCTGATTTGGTCTAAGCGGCTAAGGACAGGACCTGGGTGCTGTGCCTTCTGGCCTTTAATATGTGGCGGCTGGGGGTGTGGAAAGGGGTGGCGTCTGCTGCCATGGGATGCTGGGCTTAGCTCTCTCCTGGGCACCCTTCCTGCTCCAAATCCAAACCTCCACCCACTCACAGCACAGCCCCTTCATTTAAATATGGCCACAGAGTGTGTGAAGCCCATTCATTCAAATACCGTGCGACTTTTATCCTTCATTCATTCCAGATTTATTGCATACCTACTATTTTTTAGGTGTGGTACTGGGGCAGTTCAGATAGGCATTTTGTCCTTTGTGGGCTTACAATCTAGTAGGGGAAACGGTGTCTTCTACTTCGGGGCTGTACATGTGCAGATCAGACACACAGGTGTCACAGGGAGGAACAGGTGAAGTGAGGTGGGATGCAGGGGAGTGGGGAGAGGCTATTTTTAACTGAGTGGATCAGGAAATGTTTTATAGATGAGGGAATGTTAGAGTTAGATTTCGAAGAAAGTAGATTGAGACATGGAAAGATAGAAGGAAGAGAATTCCATGTAAGGGAACAGGATGAACAAATGCACAGAGTCAGGAAAGAATGGAGCTCTGGGGAGAACCAGGAAAGGACATGTTGTTCCGGCTGGGATAAGGGCAGGCAGAGAGAAGTGGGGGTCATGGGGAGTTGCTGTGGAAGGCTAGGTTGGAACCAAAGTGGGAAGGGCCTTGAGTGTGAGACTGAGGACAGTGCTTCGTTCTGTGGGTGGTGGGTAACCACTGAAGGCTCTAGATGAATCCATCTGGCAGTTGTTTGTAGGGAGGAGTATAACAAGGTGAGACCGATTAGACAACCATGTCAGAAATGCGAGTAAGAGGGTGTGAGCTCAGGTGAGGGCGCGGGAAGGAGCCCTCGTGGGTTTAGTGCAGGTTATGTGATCTCACCAGAAAAGAAACCCAGGAACATGAGAGAAAAGAACAGATTTAAAAAGTTCAGTTTGGGCCATTATGAATTTCAGGTGCCAGTTGAACATCTGGATGGGGCTATTTAGTTAGAAAGGTGGGATTGGAGCTGAGGAGGGAAGTCAGGCCTGGGGATCCAGAAATGTGATTCATTTGGGTAAAGATGAGGGTGAGGCTGTGAGCCCACTGAGGGAGCTGTAGATTTGGGGAGTAGGAAGAGGAAGAAGATAAATGGACTACAGGAAAAGACAGTGGCTTGGAAGCCACGGGAAAGGATGTCTCCTAGAAGAAGCGGCCAACAGGATTTGGTGACAGAGAAGCTGAGGAAGAGGGGGCTCTGGCTTTGACACGCAGGAGGCCACTGAGTGGCCTTTGTATGTTTAGTGAGGCCGTGGAGGCAGCACATTCAGAAGGTGAGACTTTGAACATTGAGTTTAGGAAGGACAGAGGCCAACAAGAGTAAGTGGGGGTGGGGGGGTGGGGGGTTCCCAGAGGCAGAAAATTTTTCTTTTTAACACTAGAGAAGACTAAGTGTGTTTGTAGACCAATGAAGAGGGGGCGAGGAAGTGACCCAGATGTCAGACACTTGAGGAGGGTGGACCAGGTCTGACATAGGTTTTATGGGACACTGCACATTGGAGGGCGAACCCAGTAGCTCCTCCGGTGCCAGCCAGGTCGCTGACCTAGGGAGTAGGGACTCCGGTCTACACTGGGGATTGCTTCGGAGGGCCTGGAAGGCCACCGAGGGGAAGGAACCAGACTAGTCTCCCCA